AATCTAACTGCCACAAACGGTTCCCACACTCTGCGATGCTAAACTTTACTACTTCCTACGTCGTGAACATGTTTTAATCTCTTTACATTGCATTTTAGTATTTTAAATACATTAATCTAATTGCCAACAACATTTCCCACACTCCACACTGCTAGCATTTACTAATTCTTTAACCATTTCCTATGTCTTGGACATCTTTCCATCCCATCTCATAGCATTACAGTATTTCAATTTCAGATACAGAAATCAAACTGTTACAATTGGTTTCCAGTTCTCAGACTCCACAGTGCTCACCTTTACTACTTCCTTTACCTCTTCCTACGTCGCGGACCTGTTTCCCTCCCTTCCCATTGCATTTTAAGATTGCAGATACCTTAATCTAATCGTCGTTACAGTTCCCACACTCCGGACTGCTCGCCTTGACTACTTCCTTTACCACTTCCTACGTTTCGGACCTGTTTTCCTCCCTTCCCATAGCATTTTAAGATTGTGGATACCTTAATCTAGTCGTCATAAACAGTTCCCACACTCCGGACCACTCACCTTTACTGCTTCCATCACGACTTCCTACGTCACGGTCCTGTTTCCCTCCCTTCCCACAGCATTTTAGGATAACAGATACCTTAATCTAATCGTCATTAATAGTTCCCACACTCCGGATTACTCGCCTTTACTACTTCCTTCACCACTTCCTACGCCGCGGACCTGTTTCCCTCCCTTCCTATAGCATTTTAGAATTGTAGATACCTTAATCTAATCGTCATAAACAGTTCCCACACTCCGTACTACTCACCTTTACTACTTCCTTCACCAGTTCCTTCGTCGCGGACCATGTTTCCCTCCCTTCCCATAGCATTTTAAGATTGTACATACCTTAATCTAATCGTCATAAACAGTTCCCACACTCCGGACCGCTCACCTTTACTGCCTCCTTCACGACTTCCTACGTCGCGGACCTGTTTCCCTCCCTTCATATAGCATTTTAGGATAACAGATACCTTAATCTAATCGTCATTAATAGTTCCCACACTCCGGACTACTCGCCTTTACTACTACCTTCACCACTTCCTACGCCACGGACCTGTTTTCCCCCCTTCCCATAGCATTTTAGAATAACAGATACCTTAATCTAATCGTCATTAATAGTTCCCACACTCCGGACTACTCGCCTTTACTACTCCATTCACCATTCCCTACGTCGCGGACCTGTTTCCCTCCCTTCCCATAGCATTTTAGGATTGTAGATACCTTAATCTAATCGTCATAAACAGTTCCCACACTTCGGACCTGTTTCCCTCCCTTTCCATAGCATTTTAGGATAACAGATACCTTAATCTAATCGTCATAAACAGTTACCACATTCCGGACTAATATTTACCACAAAACTAATAACAATAACAACAATTAAAAGAAATAATCTGCTTGGAATAATCCAGTAAGGCCGCCAGAAATTATGCGAATCGGTGTATTGTTAATCAACGCTTAATGGTATTCATTGGACTCCTTTTCTTTTGTACTGTCTTTTGTAAATAGGCCATATGTGCATGTGCAAGCTGAGATGCCCGTGGGTACAGAATGTCGAGTCGCATACGCTATGATTCTTTGTTTACATCTACGTTGTTATCTCGTAACCATCATGGCAACTCACAAGACTCATGTTAAACATTGCAAATTTTATGTCAGTCTTAAATTGTACAGGTATCATCAAATTGAAATTTGTTTGTTTCGAAACATCAAAAATATTTGTCGAAATACCCCTGGTAAGTTTGGATTCAATATGTTCAGCCGGTATTGAGTTAATTGATTACATAGTTTGCATAAGGTCCGATGTCAAAGAGCTTCGCTCGCTCCGCTCAATTATATTTATTTACGAAAACACCCTTCCAACTGGTGCCGATGTGCATTCTAAACAGAAAATGTCCAAAATCAGACCAAGATTTCAAAAAAGAGAACTTATTTTATCTAAGAAGTGTTTAAGAACTTGCACCAAACACGACTGCATTATACCTGCCCAGTAAGCAACAGTTAACCTATAAAGTACACTACCCAACTAATGTTGCGTCGGCGTCCCGTCACTGCTACCGCCTGAAGAATTGGTTCTCAGTATTCTCATTTTTTTATACGCCAGTGCCAGTGGCATTTTACAAGGGGTCAACGTGAGAATAAAGTTTTTGTGCAACGTTTTTGTGGTTGTGTCGGGAATTAAATCCGTCCCTTCCGCATCTAAGTCTGGGACACTACCATTTTGTTGTTGTTTTGTGGCTAGCAACATGCCTATTGGGTTGTGTTCAGGTATATGATACCAGGTGCTCTAAATATGAATACTATTTAATATTGCAAGTTTTGAAATTTGCTACGGTAATCATTGAATTACATCATTGAATTCCTAACGCTGAACTCAGATAAATTAATATTCAACTACCTTTCAAACTTTGCCTATTGATACAACTTCTTTTCTTTATCCAATACCCAATTCAAGTTTTCAATCATCTGGGTTAAAATGAATTATAACATTAAATGCCGAAAAATTAAATAAGAAGAAGAATGCAGCCGAACGTCGAACGCCAGCATCGAACACTGCCGTTGCCATATATGGCTGAAAGCGTCCGTTGTCTGCCGATCTTCCCTACTTTTCAACGTACAAAAGCATAGTCAGACTTGAACGATACCAAGTTTTAGATTAGACTTTGTAATTAGTCCTTTCGTTCGCTACAAGTGTAAAGACTACAACGAATTTAAATTTGGTAAAACGATTTGCAATAAAAATTATTAATGTTTCCCTGGTATAATAGTTTATATATATATAAAAAATATTTTGGGGGGTTGTCACGACCCCCCTGACCCCCCCCCTGGGACCGCCCTTGACGCGAGGGCTGTGTTTTGTGAACACTACAGTACTCCTCCCTTATTTGTGGACAAATTTCAACGTTTAAGGGGTTAAAGGATTCGGACCAATTCGTAGTTTTGCACTAAGGTTTTAGAATTTAAAAGTTCGTACCCTTAAGGGCGTGAGACCCTTTCAAATGTCGGGTTTTTGCCATGTTAATAATTGAATTACCTATCAATCTTTCTTCCGAAAATAAACTAAAATTTCCAGAAATGCTATTAAAGAGTTAGGTACATTAACTTTCTCTAAATTAACTGAATCAAAGCACAATATATTTAATGCTACAGAATATAAATCCGACCGATTTACGACAAGAGTGCATGGTGGCGGGTTGTCGAGATGGCACGTTGTCGCCTATGAGCGAGGTGGCGCGTTGACGGCACCGAACACTGAGCGTACACGTCAACCCGCCACCTCGTAAAAGAGTGGTGGCGGGTTGACGGGATGGCACGTTGTCGCCTACGTGCGAGGTGGCGGGTTGCTGACATCGAACATGGAGCTTCACGACAACCCGCCACCTCTGATAAAAACTGGTGTTGGTGGGTTGTCGTGGTGGCATGTTGTCGTGGTGGCTCATTGACTTGAGTGTGTACGACAACCCGCCACCTCGGAAAATTGTGTGGTGGTGGGTTGTCGTGGTGGCCTGTTGTCGAGGTGGTGGGTTGACCTGTACGTACACGTCAACCCACCACCTCGGTTTTTTTGTGGTGGCGGGTTGACGCCTCTGGCCAAAACACCGAGGTGGCGGTTTGACGTGGTGGCGCATTGACAGCAACCCATTCTGATGATGCAATATTAAAAACCTCTTCCCAAGTTCGTGCCCTAAAGATTACCGCTGTGTCATCTGCAAACAAGAATATTTTTCCAGAAATATCAATTTTATCTAATGTTATTGATGTAAATTAAAAATAGTAAAGTAAAGGCCCCACTGTAGAACTTTGGATCTTTCTTTGGATAATTCCAAAATATACAATCATTTGATCACTAATTGCGTTATTGATTGATACTACTTGAGTCCTATTGCTTAAATAACTTTTAAACCATGACAGGGCTCCCAAATATTCTAACTTTTTGAAAAGAATTTTCCTATCAATAGAGTCAAACGCTTTAGCAAGATCTATGAATGCAATTAGTATTTTTTCATTTCTATTCACTGACTCGATTAAAGTTTTATTGATAAGAAGGTGGAATAGGTGGGAATTCTCCCCTTGCAAGTAAAAAGGGAGGGTTGTGGGGGAGGTGGCAATTGGTTCATTGAATTTCTCGCCAGAAAAATCGGGGGTTTACGAGGTTTGGACTGTCTTACCCCAAAAATAGGGAAAAATACAAGGATTAGGGATAAAATCCCTGCCGAAAATTCCCACTCCCCAGAGCCATACACCCGGTGGGGCACACGGGAGGGACTAAGGCTAACATATCTTGTAGTGTCAGCGTTCGCCGCTAGGACTGCTAAGTTGAAAAAATTTAAATTAATTTTTAATTTTTTGTTATAAAATTAACTTTTTAATTATAAAATATTGTTTTAAAATTATAAAATTAATTTTTAATTTTTAAAATTAAACTGTCATAACATAACCTAACCAACCAGACTTGCTGATAATATAAAAACTATATAAGATAAAAATCTAATTAATGATCACTTAAAATTTTTAATTAATTATAAAATTAATTTTAAAATTTAGTATTATAAAATTAAACTATCATAACCTAACCTAACCAACCAAACTTGCTGAAATGAAAAATTTGTTGACAAAAAGTTGGTGCTGTCGGCGGGTTTCGAACCCCGGACATCCTGATCACCATTCCGAAACGCTACCAACTATGCCACGAACGCCTCTGAAATCACATCGTTTCGTTACGGTAATCGTGTCGCCTCAAGAGAAGACATTAACCACTACGTCACTACACCTTTAGCCTTAGTCCCTTCCGTGTGCCCATTCCGCCATACACCTACCCCTGATTGGGATAATATCGTAGATAAAACATACGTTGGTTAGTCTATGATAATATCCAGTCTTCTTATAGTACCACCGGAATCAATGATAGTACTGACGCACTAGACAATATATTATTTTACCAACGGCAACGGTTATTGAAATCTGACCGAGGTTGGCAGGTTGGCAGGGTTGGCAACGTCATCACCATTCCTCCTCTGCCGATTCCGACATCCGACTGCCTTCTGTCAATCGCAATCAAATTAAGATTGTTTAGGTTATGTGTAAGTACCAATGAAGATTTAATTGTAAAATAATCTGTATTGTAAAACCTCGCATTATTTGTATCCAAATTAATTGCTCGCTGCAATCTAGCCTATAAAGATTTATTTGAGTTATAACTTATTACATTTATTTATCACTAAAACACTAAATAAACATATTTTTTTTTTAGATTTCTATAAGACACTAAGTTTAGCTAGGCCTAGGCCTATCTATATAAATAAAATTAGAGTTTTGTCTGTACATTGCTTAGAATAATGAACTTTTTGGTTATTTTTACATTTCATAGGTCAGAGAAACCGAATCAAACCTTATCTCAATTTCTGTCTGTCTGTCTGTCTGTCTGTCTGTCTGTCTATCTGTCATTCTCTTGGTAACGCTAAAATACGCACTTTATTACAACTACTCCTCAATAACTATAGCACTGTCCCGCCTGAAACTTATTTTCCAAATACTATACATATATGAGATGGTTTTAGACGTATTTCATCGAATATGAGACAGTTAGATATTTAACAGTAAACCCTTGAAAATCAAGTTTTTGTCGATTTTTGACGTGGAATTTCTGGAAGCCCATGTTAACCTTATGAGAAATGAAATTATTGAATCTTAACAGCTGTTTCAATTAAACAAGTTGGTTCTGTTCTGTGATGTTCAATAGCATTAAAGTTACAAGGATTACCAACAGGGTGCAGCACTAGCACTATTATTTCTTTTACATTTATGACAACAGCTAATTTGCAACCTGGAGGCGAGTGAGCGTAGCGAACGAGCTAACCTGAAGGCAAGTGAGCGTAGCGAACGAGCTAACCTGAAGGAAAGTGAGCGCAGCGAACGAGCTCCAACATACAGGTGAGTGAGCGTAGCGAACGAACTTCAACCAGTACGTGATTGAGCCATGCAAACGAGATCAGATAGTAAAAATAAAAGTAAGCCTACCGTTATAGGATCGACCGGCAGACACAGAGGTAATTTAACCTTTTATTGATTGTCATACCGATCCGGAACAACAAAAAACAACATAAAATGAAGCTATGTATAATAGTTTGGCCAGCATATCTTAAAATATGCAAACCAACTGCTGTTCTTTATATAAGAAGGTTTCAACTGAATATTATAAGATCCCCGTGCGTAGAACGGGTACACAGCTAGTCTTTACTAATTTTATAAATCTGAAAGTTTGTGAGGTTGTGTATTGCTCAATCACGCATAAACTACTGGACGGATTGGGTTGAGATTTGGCATGGTGATAGCTCACATTCTCGATTAACATTTAGGCATATTCTTATCTCAAAAATCCTTTCGGGCTCCGCCCCATTGGCTCTGTTGTTCCCCATGTTAGCCTTAATGTGTATCTATAGGCCTATAATTAATACGCTACATGAAATTTTGTCGGTTGAACTCCTCTGTCATTTCTTAAGCGATTTTATCCATTGACGTCTCATTGGAAAGAGCGTTTCGCGTTGATTTGCAAACTGGCCTTACATTTTTGAAAAAGTCCCTTGGGCTCTGCCCCAGTGGCTTTGAAAGTTCCCATGTTATCCTTATGAAGAACATAATTGTTTACAGTTTGATCAGCTGTATAATTTAATTGCTGTTATTTATTTGTCAATTCAGAAACACATTGAGTACATTTATTTACTATTTGAATTTGTGTAAACATAACCCCCAAGACAGATCGTGTTAGTATGGTTGTATCTTAAATTTCTGTAACTATCATTGTTTTGTGTTGCTATTACGGATGGTTTTAGTATGATTGTAACTTAAATTTGCGTATTTATCGTTGTTTTGTGTAGCTATAATTTGTTTATTTGTTGTTTTAATTTTCTTTTAAATGCCTCCAACGCGACAACGAAACATAGACAGGAGGCGTCGTGATAACGACCGCAGCTACAAAACAGTGGCTCATAATAGGCTTAACTCATCACAGTCAGCACCTGACCCTGGACAATCTCAATAGGTTATAAATTCGCCCTAACACTACCCCAAAACGACTTTTCGTTCTCTGGCCCTCTATCAATGACCTGTGTTGCCTGTACAGCGAGGCATTTTGAAAAGGAGAAAACTGGCCGGAATGCTTTAGGTTTATCAATAACGAAGATAAACATGGTCTGAGTTACACGCCGGTAATCTTTGAGTTGACTTTTAAACTCATTGTAAATATGACTGTTATTCGTTTTGAAATAACTCCTGTAATACTTTGCAATTGCTTGAATTCAAGCAACATGTAGGCTACACTAGTTCATATTTAATGGGAATTAAAGAATTTAGTCAGCTGTTTTAACTTTACAAGTTGGTTCTATAATATGCAATCGCATTAAAAAGTCATAAGGGTTCCCAGCACTCTTATTATTTTGTTTTTGCATAAGTGACAACAGCTAATTTGAGCTAAGCAGCAACAAAAAGCTGTGATACACAATGAGAACTGTCAAAGTAGGACTGTTTACAGTTAGGTTTGAGTTTTTAATTTAACGAATAATTTGTGATGTTTTGGGAATGTTTAATACCTATTTTATTTTCTTCTATTGCTTAGGTGCAGTGGTAGAACATTATGGCAATGGTCGATGTGTTATACTATTTCATGCCGTAAACTTATGAACCAAATTTTATCAAACAACTGTGTCCTCCCCCATTGCTAACGCAAAGCTTGATTATAACTGCAATAAGCATTTTATACTTATATGCCAACCCTGTACGAAGGACGGGTGCTCTGCTAGTTATGACTAAAGAATGGCCAGAAACATAAGAGCTGGGTTTAGCTTATGTTATATTATCTGTTGATTTACTACTCTCTCATGTGTTTCCAACACCTTTTAAGCAGATATAACTTACGGTATGTTGCCTTAAGGTAACACAGTACTCAAATATGAATTTAAAAAAAAATTTTTTTATTGTTTAGTTTTGTAGAACAGACTTTTTTGAAGACGTAGATTAACCCTCCAAGTGTCCATAGTTTAGGCCTTAATGTCCACCTATTTTTGGCGCATTTGCAAGGTTTTATTAAAACGGATCTGAGAAGCTTAAAACAATGTTAATTCTAATGTTCTATATACCATTTTGTTTGGAAAATCATGGGCTTCAATATTATATATAAAACATAAGGAACATTTTTTCAAAAAAAAAATTTTTAGGTAAAAAAAATATAATTTTGAAAATTAAAAAAAAAAAAATAAGTTCGCGCTCAATGAAATTGTATAAATTATAGGCCTATAAATATTTGAAAATAGCCACTTTGTTCTAAATTTTATGAGGATTACAAATATATAATAATATAAGGAAGTATATTTGCAAATAAATAAGTTATGGGCAAAAAACTGATTTCAGTACATAGCGTTTAGCTAAGAATGCATAGCCTAACCATAGCTAGGAATCTGGCTGATAATTTACATCAATATCACTACCTACTTCTTCAGGATCATCAACCAGCACTTCAAAACCACTTAAATCTTCTTATAATGCACCACGTATATCACTACTTTTGATTTTTAACACTAAAACAATGATAAACGTAATAAAACACATCAGTCATCGGTCCGGGGGAACCTAGCTGTTTACAAATACACGCACGTCAGCTGTCTGCTACAATATTTTCGGAACTAAAATGAATAGCGCTTAGAGACAGACCTCTGGAGAAAGCTTAGAATATTACGGAAAGAACGATACCTAACTCGATCCAGTTCAATCCGATCCAGTCAGTCATAGAGCCTTCGCCGTAAACGATGTCTGCGTGTCGAAAAATCGACAAGTAACACTACACAAAGTGTGCTGCTTGTCGAATTTTCGTCAAGTAACACTGGGAGGGTTAATAAATACCTATTAAGGAAGAAAAATATTATTTTTAAAATTTTCAGCTACTTTTGTTAACTCTTGCAGCCTAATTTAGCATGCCCAAGGTCCTACTACTAATCATGATGCATAGGGTACGCCGTCAAATATTAAAATTTTTGTAAACATTTTTTATTATTTAGTTTTGTAGAACACACTTTCCTGAACACATACATACCAAATTTTATGGAAGAAAAAATATTTTAAGTTATACAGCGACTTTTATACACTCTTACTTTAGTATGCTCAAGGGTCCTACTACCACCCGTGACAGGGGGTACTTTTGTAGTTTTTCCGAAAGTCAAGTGGTTTTTAGTCAGGTACACTTTTCTTCCTCAATTATAATCCAATTTCAATAAAAATTTGTGTGTGTGTTCCTCATATGATACGGAACTTTGAAATAAAAAAATACTTTATGTTAAAATACCCCCGTCGCAGCAAACCTGCATACTAAGCGAATTTCCATTTACCCGGCTTGATTTCTACTAAAATATTCCCTATAAATTTTTTAGATTTATTTCCTCCTATTTAAATAACATTAATTTTAGTTAGTAGTTAGGTTTGCTGCTACGGGGAAGATGTTGAGGTGTGTTTTTTCAATTGAAATATTGATAGCTTACTATGAAATAAACCAAATTGCCAAATCTGATTAAAATATATCCATAAACAAGCAAACTAGAACAGTTTATTTATTCTCCATAAGAATAACATGGGAATTTTAAATTTACAATTTTTTTAAATTTTCTCCGTAGTCAATGAACATTAAAAAACACTTCAATATACTAAATTATTTGTTTTTTTAAGCTCTTCAAAATGGTCTAGAGAGAAATTTAGAAATTTAAAGTTTTTAGGGTCAAAAATTAGAAAAACCCATTTTTACCCCATAAAACCCCCCATAAACCCCTGATGCCATGGTCCGATTATGCTGGTTCGCAAACTCGTTAGAATAAATGTAGGTTTACACGTTTGTACCAAATTTCATCAAAATCGGATCAATTTTGCTCGAGTTATCGCGCTAACGGACACATATATAAATATATATATATAAATTTGAACGGATGGTGTTTTTGGCCTCTGGGGACCTCAAAACGAAAAAGTAAATCTGTCCCGGGTCTAGGTCTTACCATGAGACCTACGGTAATAGCTTATTCCCTATATGGGAAATTCGCTAAAATTACAAAATATTTTATAAAATTTTTAAAGTCGTAGTAAAAATTTAATTTTGCTCAAAAACTTTTTTTACTTCATATTATTGTTGGTAATAATGTATTAAACATAGTAAAAAAATTTCAAGTTGATAGGTTAATATTTGTAAAAGTTATGTGTACCTAAAAACTGTCTTTTTAACATGGGCGGGATAGGGAGTACTGTGTCACCTTAACCCTCCAAGTGTTATGTGTCGTAAAAGCGACTCATAACACATCCGCTGTAGTGTTATGTGTCGATTTTGCGACTCACAAACACTGTTTACGGCGACGGCTCTGGGACTGACTGAATCGGATTGAACTGGATCGAGTTAGGTATCGTTTTTTTCAGGAGATTCAGAGCTTTCTCCTGATGTCTGTTTCTATACGCTTTTCATTTTAGTTCCAAAAATATTGTAGCAGACAGCTGACGTGCGTATTTGTAAAGAGCTTGGTTAACCTTGCACTGATGACTGATTTTATTACGTTTATCATTGTTTTACTGTTAAAAATCAAAAGTAGTGATATACGTGGTTATTGCGCAATCGCAGGGTTTTATTAAAATGTATCTTAGAAACTTAAAAACAATGTAAAGTATACTGTTTTATATATCATTTTGTTTGGAAAATTATGGGCTTCAATGTAACATATAAAACATTACAAAAAAAAAATGTTCAACAATTTTTGTGGGTTTAACATTTCTCAAAAATTATAAAATAAATGACAAAAAATTATGTTTGCACACTGATTGCATTTTTGGATTCAGCGTGAAAAATACTGTAAGTAGACATCTAAAAATTACACGATATCGCATTGTAGATATATCAAATACTAGCAGAGTACCCGTCCTTCGTACGGGGTTGGAATAAACATAAAATGCTTATTGCAGTTATACTCAAGCTTTGCGTTTGCAATAAGGGAGGACACAGTTTGATAAAATTTGCTTTTTTAAATTTACAGTATTCTATAGTATTACACATCTACCATAGCCATAATGTTCTACCACTTCACCTAAACAATACAGAAAAATAAATTATCAACAATTCGCAAAATATCACAAATTATTCGTGAAATGAAAAACATAAACATAACTACTGTAAACAATCCTACTTTGACAGTTCTCATCGCGAATCACAGTTTTTTGTTGCTGCTTAGTTTAAACTATCTGTGTGCCCGTTCTACGCACGGGGATATTATTGTAGTCAGTTGAAACCTTATTATATTAAGAACAGCAGTTGGTTTGCATATTTTCAGATATGCTGGCAAAACTATTATATTTAAACCTTCGCAAATACAGTATCTGACTTAAATAAAGTTTCCCAGCCATATACAATACTGATTCAAGGTCTTCTTTCTGGTTATCAAAACTCAAGAACAGTTTTATACACAAAACACAAAGAATCTCTGGTTCCTGACCTGAATGATGCCTAGTTATTTAATTTCATTTACTGTTACACTATATTATTCCACTTGTGATTAATTAAATCCGTTATGTAAGAAAAACGTTTTTAATCTCACTTGGTTGGGATTTGCCTTCAAAACGTGATCGGAAATGGTTGCGGTATTTGTAAACAACATTTTTAAACATATCAGTGACAGCTAGAAAAAATAATCTTGATCCGAACAGCTGTTCGTTATTTCATAGATGATTATGTGATAAAAATTGGACAAAAACTTGAAAAAATTGCACAAAACTGCATTTTTGAACGTCCGTAATTTTATATACAAATTAGTGAGGCCATATTTTAATGGCAAAAGACACTCTCACCAATCCAGTGAATACATTAAAATGACTTGGATCTTGATAGGTATACTCTCGTTTTCCTGGAGAAGATTGCGTAAAATGCCATCTTGAGTGTTACCGACAGACAGACAGACAGAAATTTAGATGAGCCTTGTTTCGGCTTCTTTAATGTATAAAACGTAAAAATAACCTAAACATTTATGATTCTGAGCAATGTACAGACAAAACTCTAATTTTATTTACCGGTATATAGATTAGCTGTTTTCATAAATGCAAAAAAAATATAGTGCTGCACCCTGTTGGTAAATCTTATATAACTTTTTAATGCTTTTCCATATCATAGAACCAACTTTTTTAGTTGAAACAGCTGACTAAATTCTTTAATTCCCTTTAAATATGAAAACTCATAAGGTTAACATGGGGAATTACAGAGCCACTGGGGCGGAGCCCGAAAGGATTTTTGAGATAAGAATATGCCTATATGTTAATCGGGAATGTAAGCTATCATCATGCCAAATTTCAGCCCAATCCATCCAGTGGTTTATGCGTGATTGAACTTCAAACACACAAACAAACAAACAAACACACAAACTTTCACATTTATAATATTAGTAAGATAAGATTTGCCATCAATAATAATTGTATTTAAAACTGGCTTGTTGGTATTTTAAGGAAACTGTTATTTAGTTCCCTGCGATGTATCATAAGTAATGACATGTTTATATATTTTGTTTTAGGATAATGGGTCTCTGTAAATGCCCCAAACGTCGAGTAACAAACCAATTTTGTTATGAACATAGAGTCAATGTGTGTGAATACTGCATTGTTACCAACCATCCAAAGGTAATATGACAGTAATGATTATGTAATCATATAAGAACACCTGAATTGTGTAGATCAATATTAATTGTTCCTACTGTGTGATATAAATACTAGCTTGGTGATAACTTATTCAAAATCAAAGAAGAGGCCTAGAATTCAGTTTAACTCCGGCCAATTTAGCGAGTAGGACTAATAATTTTTCACACTTTTTAGTTATGGAAATATTATTAAAGTGTTACATGCAACTTATTTTTCCCAGGTTACACTTGAAATTTATTATCATGCTTCATGAAGGAATATTGTGCTCTTCCTGTTAAACTTGTTATTAACTATTTTTTTACCTTATTTTAAGGTTTTTAAAACATTGATACCATTCAATATACTCTTGTCATCCTTAAATGCAAATGATACAGTAATTTAGCAGTGTTTATTTTTAGTAGGCCTACACTAAATAAGCAAAAGTATAGTCTGGTCAAGTAGCGCACTCTGTACTCTTATTGTGTGTCGCAGTAAATTCCTGTCACACAGGGCATGGAGTCTTCTTCCACCAGGAGCAGTGTTGCCACTAGGAGGAGAGGGCACACGAATAGGAATACACATGTTGCGGTAAAGCCAACTTTAGCAGAACACTAGAGGGGCACGCGGAGCCGTAGAGTGGCAAAAAGCCGCCGCTATAACATGGGAGGGATAGGGAAAAACGTGACGCGCGCTGTTTCAAATTAAAATTGCCGCTAAACTAAAATACCTGTGTTATTCACCGATGGCATTCTTAAAGTAAATTAAATTTCCTATCGAATGGTATCAATAATTTCTATAAAAAATTTGTTATTGATGAAGATCAAAGTTGAAAAAATTGTTGAAGACTTTGAACATATGATTACTATAATTACGTTTTTGAAAGAAATATGATTTATCTATACAAATTATCAATTTATTCGTGTTCCTTAAGAGTTTCTCGGTATAAAAAATATAAACTTACCTATATTTAAAAGTAGTATTTAGGAAAATAGTTACAATAAAATTATTTTTAATTTGTCCAGTTTATAAAACAATCCGATAATCTTATTAAATATAGGTTAAAATGAAAAATTTAATTTGGGTGGTGAAATACATTTTAAATTTGCATTTTTCATAGTTTTCTCGATTTATAAATTCCTTTTTTTACTAGTTTTAAGGCATTTATGGGCTAGGCAGGTGATTTTAAATAGCCAGTTAAGAAAAAATTCAAATCCGCGCTCACTTTATATACACTAACAGCCGTTACAATTAAGTTACAAAAATAAAAGTAAAACAATTTCTTGGCAATAAAATTCTTGATTTTTTAATATCATGTTGAGCTATATTTGAATTGTTTGCCCAAAGAATCTTTGAGTAAAAAAGTATAAACGTTTAGTAATCATCGCGTCTTCTGACGCCAAAGTGCGTTTATCATGCTTTTAAAGGATTAAAACTTATTTTATTTCTCTTTAAGAAAGATTTTCATATACACTTACAGTGATTAAAATATAATTAAAATTTTAATTCATGGATAGTATTAAAAATAATACACAATATAAGTATCCCAGTACGGTGCCGGCGGCCAAAAATCGAGCTTCAACGAAACTACAGTGTGTCCTCTCCTTAATGTTTAATCCTCCTAGTGTTGCCATGTGTAGGTTATATTTTTGCTCCTTCCCCATACAAAATAATGTTATTAAATAGTACCTTCGATAATTTTGACGTATTTACAGTTATTCCTCACTATATTTGATTATTTTACGAGTTTAAACATAGGCCTAAATTCATGTTAACTTTAGAACAAATCAATCTTGCATAGCCTAAGTCACAAAACTACCTAAATCAAACATCACAATCAAACATCCGAATCCACTGCTCTCAACCAGTGGCGTAACTAATCTCACTGCGCCCCAATGCAAGTATTCCCCTTTTTCGTAGACTCATTCTCCCTACCCATAACGTCCAACAAAACTAACGCTTTTCGCCATACTTCCACTCTTCCTGGATACTATTTCACTAAACACCACATTGTACAAGCTCTATCCAATCAAAGAATTTTTATTATTTACTATGTAGAGTAATTTTAGAGTAAATTATTTAAAAAAATATTATTAAAAAATTAATTGAAAGTAAAATCAAGCTACTTAACATTTCCAAACACCATTAAAACTGAAGTAAGGATCACATTTCATACTTACAATTTAATCAATGTAATTTTTACGATGATAAAATATAGACTCCTTTTTACTTTACTGAACATTTTATATTTAATTTATTCAGTGCCTTGTACAGTATAGATGATCTCGCAAGCTATAATATAATGTTCATGTTTCGTTTCTAAAAAATTTTAATTATTTTACTAGATGATGCATTCTTACAGTCAAAAAGCTGCCTACAGCTCATAGTGACAACACTGTAGGATGAATTTGAAAAAGATTTTGTTGTCATAACCTATTATGTGTTGTATATCATTAGAAAGGGCATAAAAAGAGCTAAAAATTACACCTGTAGCGTAATCAAAAGGTTATTGTAGAAATAATAAAGTGGACTGTATATGGGTTATTAATTTAATTTTGACAACAGAAAATAATTATGGACTTTTGGTTGAATTTTTAACACTGAACTATAGTTATGTTACCTATAGTTGATGTTGGTCCTTGAAAGGGAGTCGAACCACATATGTTCCATCTGGAGAGCGGGAGTGAGTTGATTTGAAGTGATCTTCAGCGATGCGATCGTCTTCAGAGATAAGATTGCACTGCGGGACTTCTTCTTGTTGCCAAAAGCGAAGTAGAGTATTATGTAGCTCGTCCGTAGTGGAGAGTAGAGATGAATGGCATGAGGTGGGAGAAGAGTTAGACAAAGTTGGTGCATTGCCCATTAACACAAATCCCAATCGTGTTCCAATAACGAATGGAAGGTTTGAGCCCAATGGGTAGGATTGATGAGTAAGAAGTTCTGGAAACAAAGCACCTCCTATGAGAATGTCAATATTCTGAGGTATATGAAAGGTCGGATCTGCAAGAACAAAAGGTTTTACCAGTTTGTAAACCTCAAAAGAGAGTTGAGTACGAGGCAAAGGAGCGGAAATTCTATCTAGAATATGGAAAGGTTGATTTGAAGCAATTACTTCACTGCATAGTGTAGATAGTTCTAGGAGTACATGTCCTTTTGTTGAAGATTGCGATGCAGAGATTCCCACGATTGTGTGAGTAGAGCGGTGACGAGAGACGTTTAATAGCTGTGCTGCCTTCTCCGTCATGAAGTTGAGTTGACTTCCACTGTCGAGCAGACATCGAAAGACATGAGAGATTCCATTATTAGCGGTAATTTTAATGAGAGCGGTGCCTAGCAGTACCGTAGTTGCAGGCTGAGAAATCGAGAGTGACATTTCTGGTTGAGCAGAAGCGACTACAGAAGGTGTAGCAGTTGAAGGTTTTTAGGGTTTGGCTATAGGAGGAGGCTGCACCGACTTTACAACATTTTCGAAATGTAACAAGGTGTGGTGTTTTTGTTTACTTTAAGACATGTGCCTGTTGAGCGACAATCTTTGAGTGTGTGATTGCCAAGACATGAAATACATTTATTTTGCTCCTTTACAAGTTTGTAACGCTCATTTGGAGATTTCTTAGCAAAAACCTTACACATGTAGATTTTGTGATCGATTTGTTGACAGGCAAAGCATGATGGAAATGTCTTTACAGAAGTGGAGTGATCATCTGAGCTTACAAGTGCAGTATAGCGGGTGCTTGGTTTGGAGTAATTTTTACTAGATGTGAGGGCAGGCTTTGAATTAGCCTTGTGACAAAAAGTTGAAGAGTGTAGGTTGGCATCTTCATTGAGAAATTTAATGATTTCGTCCACAGATGGTAACGAATGAGTTTCACATGATTTGAATGAGCGGTAATGTTCAAGTATTTGCCGTAAATTTCTATCAAGTCTACGGAGCAAATGAGCTGACAGCAAAGGATTGTCATTGGTAGTGATGTCACTTTCTAAAGCAATAAGTGATTGTGTATGTTCCAGGAAATGATTTAGAAATTCACGTATTGATTTTGTATTTTCAGATGTGGCAATGGGAAGATCCAATATGGCATTTAAATGTAAAGAAGTTAAGCGTCTGTGATTGTGGTATCGATCGCGCAACAAATTGTATGCGATTTCGTAGTTAGATGCACTGATGTTTAAGTTTTTAATTAAATTTAGAGGTTCTTCAGTTAGACAGCTTAGTAGGTATTGAAATTTTGATACTGGAGACAGAGATGTGTTGAGGTGTACAGCGCTATCAAAAAGATTGATGAAATTAATCCACTCGGCTGAGTTTCCCGAGAAGGTTTTCAAGTCAAGTTGCGGTAGGTGGACAGGTTGCATGAAAGCAGTACAGTTGGAATTATTCACCATTTCTTGAGGGGGAGATTGAGGTTCGTCAATAGGGATTAGTGACTCTATAGTACTACAAAGATGTATACATAATTCACCAATAGTGTTTTCATCATCATTTAAAATAATGCCATCGAGTTCTTCGTCAGAACAATGTTCTAAAACGCGCCTGAAATTTAGTTCAAAGTCGTCTCGCTTTTTCCTGATTTCATCTAAATAGTTAGTTATGAAGTGATTTTATTTGCACAGAGGATAGGTTGTTTCCTTTAGCACTTTCATTTATAGAATTTACATTTTCTTGAATTTTTACAAGTCTAACTTTGAATTGTTTAGTTAGTCTTTCATAGGTAGAAACCTTAATAGGGCCTAATAGGGACCTTAACAGGAGCCATCATTGAACACAAATACAGTCAAAATACACAAGGCACAAAAGTTATTTCACTTCGTTACATAAAACAAAATGAATTAGGCTAGTTCAATTAAACAGTTTATGGGCCTTAACTCGGAACCAATCAACAAAAAATATAAACACTGAAGGATTGGTATAATGTTTACAAAATGACTATAATGTCACAGAGTCTTTCAGTCATTGGAGTAGGCCTAGATAGGCTAACGTGAATTAGGCTACTGTGATCCAGAGAGTG